AAGTTTGTTAGTTTCAACCGGCTGTCTGAGATAAATCTCGTTATTTTTTTGGTCTTTTAATTGTTACTTTTCACAAATAAAAAACATCACAATAAGTAATATTTTATTAAGCATATCGATATTATAAGAAATTATATTATTAATGATATTTTTTTATTAATTAATACTTTTTATAAATTTTTTACTAAATAATATGTTTTTATTACAATAATAAGACGATCTTAATCATCATGTTCCTTATCATTTTAATTGATCAGGATTTAGATAAGACGAAAAAAAATGTCAGATAACCCGAAACAATCATGACATAATGTATTTTTAACGTAGTGTTGCAGCTATTGTGGCTGGTTTAGTTATGCAGCAATGTATATTTATTAAAATTACAGAGGAAGTGCAAACAGAATTTATACTACAGTAAAATCTGTGGCGAGAGACCACGCTTGGTAAGCTTTTTGCCTTTGCACATCAGTCGGCATTAAGTACCTGAGGGGTGGTTACAGGTGTTTACAAAAAGCCGCTTAAACTTTTCGCAGAGGCTTAAAACTACAAAGAAAATGGATCGCGTTTGCCGGAGTTACGCAAATACCGCTTATTACCAAGATTATCCTGTAAAACATTCATTACGGTTGTTCAATTATTTAAACTATGCTGGAAATTTAGAAATTAGGTGACGGACAACTTAAAAGATTCCCACCTAAAATTCCAACCGGAGCTTGTAGCTATGTAACTTTTTATAATAAGCAATAAAACACAGTTAATTACTTTATGTTAAAATTGTTACAGTTAGCAGAATCTTGCCGATACGACCCAGGGATCGTTATTAATACACGGAAGATTACTGTACGTAAAAGAACAAGGAAGGCCAAGATTTTTTCGTCATCTTTCTTTTTCTGTTGCAGTATGTTAAATTATATTATTCACCATTTATTAAGAAAGGTAAAAAAGTTTATCACTATTTTTAACCGACTTCAAAAAAGAAGGTGGTTTCTCAATTCGACTGTATATATTTTGTTTTTTTTACGTGTGTTCGCGGATAACTTCGTCGTTTTTATATAATAGTAGTAAACTTTTTTACAGAATTTTTTAATTCAAATCATGTGTACAGTGCCAAAGAGGTTCGTAGCGCTGAACGATACTCAATGTGTCAAAAACCAAATGTCTGCTGTCGCTCTTATCTTATACTCGTGTTGCGTTTGACTGTGAGGGTTTTTGCTTTTCTTTACCCACACTTAGCTTATTATATAATAATAAATAGAGTCAAGAGACACTATTTATAAACTTAAAATTGACAACAAATGTTACTATGTATCTATGTATGTTGTTTTATAATTACTCTGGTAATATCTCTAATAATGTATACACCTTCACCAAATTTAATAACATTATAATGGCTTCGTGATTTTAAGGGTCTACTGGAAGAGAACTCTTTTTAGGGTTAAGCTCGCCTTTATACATGTGTTTTGCCATTTGTTCCAATTTTCTGTATTATAATTGAGTGTACACACAGGGAGGTAAAGCAAAATAAAATAATTTTATACGTGACAATTTTTTAATTGTAACTTAGAACTATCTTGTACGTAGTGAATATAGTGAATTTTGAAGAAACCAAAACGGGTGCAAAACAGGTACAGCCTATCGGAGAGCTCGTAATAGGCGAGTTAAGTATGACATTGATGTGGTCGGACCAGCAATGTGGTACTCTACCTCGAGATCCTTTCCACTCTACTTTGCCTAACACAGTATTTTTTTCCAGACTTCTGGCAATGTGAACCGAACCAAGTACCTACATATTCTCCGGTGATGTTTTTTTAAAAGACGTGGTTACTTTCAGCTGCTCGAGAATCTACTTGTTGCTGGACCATGGGATGCGATTTATGCGGCGCCAACAGCACATTTTAAAGGCGTCAATCTTGAGATCCATGTGAGCAGGATAAGAATATACTGATTTTTACACGGTTTCATCCCGTCTTTTCTCTACCATTTCATGCATTGCCTTGGAACCTAAAAATCTCGAAACTCCTTCAGAGTTCCTCTTTAAGTCTTCGTAAGGCTTAAATGTTTCTTTCCGATTTTCCGAAGAGCCATAAATCCGCGATATCCGTAAGTGATCTTCGAGCAATGATGAGTTTTCTCTATCTTCAATATCAGCAGCCCACTTTGATGGAGAATAGAATTTATCTTCTTTATCATTTTATGCATCTTCTATGTGCAAATAATATAAAACTAAAAAAGTGGGTATTAGCAGCCACATCGCCGCGAATATATCGAGCTCCCTCGTCGTTCATCGTCCTTCTTATTTTTTTTTTTGTTAAAACATTGCCAATTATTTTTCGATTAGAGATACAACAAGCTATATTTCGGTTCATAATAATTTTATTCGCCTTAGAAAGAACATTAATGTACATACATTTGGTAAAATATGTGAAATCCACCAGTCGACAGTGGGACACGCCCTGTATAGAGAAGGCCTTTGCCCAAAAGTTGGACAAGATTTTAGCATTAAAAATCTTAATACTTGTCATAAATCTATTGGTTTGCTGTAAAATAGATTATCTCAATAGAATCTATCGGTATAATTAATGACTTCAATATAAATGTGAGCATCAGTAAACATTCAACTTGAAGTTCGAACATCGATCGCTTTATTGTTGTTTTCGAATGAGTTATCATTCCTTTAGTCGTCTCACTACCACCGATTTGGTTCGCCACACTCAGCAATTCGCAAATTCCACGAACCCTTTGCATCCTAAGTAAACGGATCGCGCCACTACGCAATTTTGCTCTCGTTAAAATTCCACCGACAAAGTATTTCTGTCTCCGCGACATTTGAACGCGGGCTTTGTATTTATTTTGCAGGTGAATTCTGCCTTTATGGCACTCTCGACCCTAAATTAATTCAGTGACAGTTTTAGGTCGATAATTTAAAATTCAGCACTTGTGGCAGCATAATATTTTACACATTTTCATTTTACTACAAATGTAAACAATACATGTAAAATTTAAACTTCAACAATTGTTATTTGTAATTTATCTCCCTCGTTAAATTTTTATCTAAACTGACAGCCGAGTCATCTTGTTTTCACTTCTCTAAGACTCTTCCACGACATTTTAAAAGTCATGTTAAATTTTTGATAATAAGCTTACAAGGTTAATTTTCACAAGAATATATTCAACTTTCATTAGAGACTATAACTCTTATAATCGGATACTCCATTAATGATCCGGCTAAGCTTCGAAAAGGTTCGATTTAGTGTCTGGATTAGCTAATATAATTTATTGACATGCAAAATTATAACATTTTATACAAATAAAATGCATTTTATTCTATTTACTTTTCCTTAAAAAATCCTTTAAAGCACAAGGGATTCAAACTAACTTATCTGAAATGTCATGACAGCCATTACATTTATAATCGTCACGCTTGAATTCTTTAGATTCCATAAAAACTTTCATTGCATCTTTTATGTTAATTTATATTTTAATTTCAACTTTCTTATTCAAAACTTGAATGAAATTTATATTAAAGAGTAGATTTACTTTTATACATATACCAGTAGTGTTACTTGTAATTCTCCTATTTAAATATTATATAATGTATATAGTACCTTGAGGACCTATTTAGGAGGTTTTTTTGGTAAATCTTGTATTTTGGAAATTAGTATTCGAATAAAATTTTTCATTCCCTGAAAACAGGGATAAAAGGACATTTTTTAATCTACGCACATACTAAATTTCATGAAAATCGCTGGAGCCGTTTCCGAGATTCCGATTATATATATACAAGAATTGCTCGTTTAAAGGATAAAATTAATGTGATAATCTGAAATAGAATAAATAAGATGCGGTCCTGATAATTGATTCTATTTCATATTATTATACTTATATCCCCATCCTTTAATACCAGAAGAAACCTCATTTATGCATATTTTCTGAGAGTAAGTTTAAGTTTGTTTTGCAGCGGAATTTAAAGGAAAAACATAACTATGTTAACGTTGAAAGTGTTTCTTTTTCATTTAGTAATTTCAAGAGAAACAGTGGAATCGTATATTTAAATTCTGTAATGATAAGATGATAACATTATCGTTAAAATATTCTCCCGCTCAGTTTCTTTCGCCGGTTCTTAGGTCAGTGGCTTCTTTTCCGAACCGCTAACAGTGTTATTTGATAATCATTAAGTAAGTGTAATGCTTCTATACTGAAAAGATATTTGAATTGAGAACAATCTGTGTCGTTCATGATCAGCATAAGGGGTATTTCTCCTACATATCTCACGACCTCACAAATGAACAATAGAATTCTGAACGTAAAAATGGCTTTTAAAATTATAACAAAATAAAAGTCACGTAAGACGAATAGCGAATGGAAACAACACAATAAAATATATTAATGCGTGCATAAATAAACGCTTCACCCCAGTACAAAATGATATCTGCCGGCCATCCCTCATTTTAACACAAACGTCACTTGAAAAACAGGCAGGGTTACTTATCATATGGGATAATGTATCGACGTTGTCCTCTTTGTTAACTTTATACACATTTTAAACCACTTTGCAATTTTTAATACATTTTCATTTAAAAAAATTTCAAAAAAAAATCAGTTAATAAATAAATTAGGAGCAGACACGCAGCGTATTCTACGATTGTCGGAATAGGATAACTGACACAACATAAAAATGATAAATATTTAATTATAGAACATTTAACATTTTGTTTTAAATGTATTACTCTGAGTAGAGCGTGATAGCTCAGTGTCCGGACGCTCGCATTCAATATCATATAATTTTGCATTCAATATACTCAAGCAACCTGAGTTTAAATCCCGATAGCAGCACTAATTACATTGTAAATTATAAGTGCTGAAATAACATCTTACCTTTTACCTTACTATTGCTCTTATTACATTATTACTACTACAAGCGTCGAACGGGCTGCACGTCTTTAGTGTAATAATCTTTTCTTTGCGATTTAATTTTTTTGAAGTATTGTAATATAAACGCTATGGCTAAGTGCAATAAGTGTAACATTCAAATCAACAAGTCCGATGAGCCGCCAGCGGTTAGCTGCAGCAAATGCTCACTATACTGGCATGTATTGTGTGCCGGGCTACGTTGTACACCGCGGGACAAATTAAATTGGCGTTGCGATGCATGCAGACTTAACCAGTCGAAGAAAACTGTCAAGAGTAAGGTTACAGCACACGAAGATTCTTCTTCTCCGAAATCTCCAGTGGTGATCGAGGGGGAAGAAATTGTAGCTAATATCAAAGATCTTCGCCAGGAGCTTGAGTCTATAAAAAAGGACATGAACGAGAAGGCGCCTAATATTCAGGTTGGGCTTGAAAAAAGAATTGAAATCGTGGAAGCAAAATTGATGGACCTAGAAAATCTTGGAGACTTATTAAATGGCTTTCAAGTTAGGGTTACAGCTCTGGAAGAATGTAATAACTACCTAGAACAGTGTGAAAGGGTGAACAACTTAGAAGTACATGGCCTTGCTGAGCAACCTAATGAACAACCAATAGACGTAATCCTTAGAATTTCAGATTTTCTTGGGATTGCAATGACGAGAACGGACATAAGGTAGGTTGGACGATTAGGATCTCAAACTCAGAAAAATAACTCTAGACCCAGACCTTTACTCATAAAATTCGCCGATATTAACAAAAAAAAACACTTTTCTCCGGTTAATGAGGAAGAATAAAGGTATAAAAATGTCATCCCTTGGCGCCGAAAACGACAAAAGCAAAATCTTCGTTTCTGAAAATCTAACACCTTTTTATCAGAGGTATTTTCCTAGAAGCAAGGAAACTTCAAAATTTCGAATTCGCCTGGACCTACAATTGTCGGATTTTCGTCCGTAAGAACAAAGACTCTCCATCTATATTGATCAAATCAAAAAACCAATTAAAATGTTTAGTATAAAATATTATTATTTTAGTATGAAATATTTATTTTATGTATATAGACTAAATAATCTAGCTGCATGCCCGTTTTCACTCACATTTTTCTATATTCAGAACACTTATAACGATACTTATTTTATATATCCATAGTTTAATCATTGTAATTTATTTTTATTGTATTGCTTCTTTGAGCCTATTGTACGCAATTAATCTATTTCGGCCTTTGTGCAATATCGTTTTGTGGGCCGCAAGTGTAAAGACTTGTTACTTTGTTTTATTCAATGATGACTCACTCACTTCCATTCGAACATATGTTCGTACATTGATATCAATGCAATTTAGTTTTTTTTTTTCAATTCGGTTTGGTTTTTTTTACTTCTACCCAACCGCTTCCAAGAATGAATATACAATTATTATCACGTAATAATTGCATTTACGTTGTTATATATTGTATTTATAACGTTTTTGAGTTACCTACGAAAAGTAAAATATTTTACGGTGGGTTTGCTAAATATAGCTTCGATTAATACGGGATGGGATGAATTTTTAGATTGTTTTAGATTAAATGACCTGGATGTTTTATGTCTTAATGAAACCTGGCTCGCACCTGACGCGGACACTCGATCATACAACGTTCTCGGATACAAATTTATACATGTCCCACGTATATCTCGCGGTGGTGGGGTAGGCGCTTATGTGCGCAATGATCTTGCAGTTCGACAATTAAACCATCCAGTGGGGGTCCTTGAACAGATGTGGCTCGAAATTAACCTCAAAAATAGTAAATTGGCGCTAGGAGTTGTTTATCGGCCACCGTCTCAAAATTGGTCATCAGCTTACGAATCGTTACATGACTCCCTGATAAATTTTGCTCCCCAATATGATAATTTGCTTCTTTTGGGAGATTTTAATATCAATTGTATTAATGTTGATAAAGTTGTCTATACGCCTTCATGTTTTCATGATATTATAAATAATTATCAACTTAATCAAATAGTTACGTCACCTACTCGGATAACACCTCAAAGCGAAACACTTCTCGACATTATTTTTGTAAGTTCTCAATTAAAACCCATTTCCACAAACGTAATTCATAACGATGATCTTAGTGACCACGGTTTGGTCATAGCAAAGTTTGGTATTGAATGCTTTAAAACTTGTCCTCGTACAATTTCGTATAGACCAATAGATGATAACATATCGGCTATAAATAATGCCGCTCAATATACTCCATGGGACCTAATTCTCCTATGCGATAACGTTAATGATATGGTCCAGAGATTTAACTTTCTAATATTAGATCTAATTGACACTTTTGCTCCCATCTGCACAGGGACATTCAAAGAACCTCCGACACCGTGGATGTCTGAAACTTTAAGGTCCCTTCGTCTTTTACGCGACAAAGCTTGTCAACGTGCTAAGAAGATGAAGACCGAATCGTCCTTTCAATACTATCGAGATCTACGCAATTACTATAATACCGCTATTAAAAAGGAGAAACTTGCATATTTTAAATACGTTTTAAATAATAATAACAAAAATAAGAGTTCGGCTATGTGGAAAATCATCAAAAAATTAATAAGACCCAATTCGGGTAATAATATTCCGAATAGTCTTGCTGACCCAAACCAACTTAATATTTTTTTCACACAAAAACACACATCAAACGCTGATAATATCTATAAGCAGGCTAGGAAAGACAAAAATACCAATTCGGTCTTTAACTTCATGGAAATTTCCCAATCCGACATTGCTCGCTCCATTGAATTATCGTCCTCAAATTCTATCGGTTGTGATGGTATCTCCATGCTTATGATAAATTTAAACTTACCTTACTCTCTAAATGCCATATCTGCCATAATCAATAAGTCTATTAGTGAAGGAATTTTTCCTGAATTATGGAATTGTGCGGTTATCACACCTATCCCTAAAAAAGCAAAGGTAGGGGGTATGGAAGGCTTAAGACCAATTAGTATTTTACCTGCACTCTCAAAAGTAGCTGAGAAATGTGTGCTTAAACAGATGCTACCGTACCTAAATGAAAATAATATAATCCCTTCTCTACAGTCTGGCTTTCGTAAACAACATAGTACTACTTCAGCGCTCTTGCACATTGTTGATGATATCCTAACAGCTTCGGATAAAGGACTAGGTACTATTCTCGTCCTCTTAGACTTTTCACGTGCATTTGACTGCGTTTCGATTCCAATTTTATTAGAAAATCTGTATTACTTCGGTTTCTCAACATCCGCGCTGAAGTGGTTTAAATCCTATTTCACAAACCGGAGCCAGATAGTCCAATTCGTCGATACTGAAGGTCAGCGTAGGTTTTCAATGCCCGCTTCTATTACTAAAGGTGTCATCCAGGGTTCAATTCTTGGTCCCATTCTCTTTGCTATTTACACATCGGACATACATAGGGATATTCAGTATTCGCAGGTACATCTTTACGCTGACGACACCCAATTATATATACATTCACCCTTAACTACTGATGGCAAGTTAACAGTTGTATCTAACTTAAATAAAGATCTCGAAGCAATTGTAGCCTGGGCGGAATGACATGACTTAATCCTTAATCCGAAAAAAAGCACTTCGATCATATGCGGAACCAAGCATCAAACAGACTTTCTAAAGCAGAACAACCCTTGTGTTAAAATTATGGGTTCCTTGTGTAACGACCTATTAATAATAATAAATATTATTATTAATTAGTCATAATAAAGATCAATTAAGATGAAAGTAAAACGTTTAAGAACGTTTAGTCACAATAAAAGTTAATAATATATACTTAAATTTAAGAAATATAAGAGTTAGTATGAGAAAATGATATTACCAAAAATTGATAAAAAATAGTTAAAAATCACTTAAAATACTCAAAAAAGGATATTTATTAAAAATATAGCAAGATACGATCACTATTATGTCCATTAAATACAATTCCATACTTAGTGATTTCTAAGGGAAGTAATATGTACCGTGCGGGGACACATTTGTATGACCGCACATATGTAAGTACAGAGGTCGATCGCGACTCTTAGTACTATAGTCAAAGTACATTGTATGAACGTCCCATACCAATATCATATGGAAGTAAGGTCTAATGAATAAAAGTAATAATATGTGAAGGTTCAGAGAAAAATAATGAATATATAAATATAATGAAGAGCAATGAATGACTTGGGACTTTGTAAGACATATTACTATGGAGTTGCGTGGTACTTCTGTACGATGATATGGTCTACGGTAAACGTGGAACCATGAATGGATATGTCTTCAGTGGTGGACATATCATCGATAGCTGGTGGTAGTTGGCGTCTTAGTGACCATCACTATGATACGTTGGCTGTCATTCGGCATAGTAAGAGTTTGGTGGTGGTTGGCGTCTTAGTGTGTTGCACTATGATACGTCGACTAATCATCTGACTTTGGGGAGTCTGGTGGTGGCTTGCGTCTTAGTGTATTCCACTATGATACGTTGGCTATTACTTGGCTTGGGTGGGGGTCCGTTGGTGGTTGGCGTCTTAGCGTTTACGCTATGATACGTCGACTATCATTCGGATCGTGAAAGAGTATGTTTGGACACTTCGTGTGTTCCGAGTATATTCTAAACTTTGGAGCTAAAGTTGATTGGAGTTGTATTGGTGTGGTGTGAGGGTGTGCCACCTACGCGATAGTCACATTGATGCATGCGGCTATATGCAGTACTGCGTCTTGTGGTATTTGCGGGGTGATCTGCGCCTAATATCATTGCATCGCATGAGTCTGGTTGACGGAGGTTCGAGGTGATGATGTCTGCTGTGTATGCGGATAGGCTGTATGTTGGCGTGTTGACCTGCGATCGTTGTATTGATGCATGTTGCATTTAGTGACATTGCGTCTTACGACATTTGCTTGGGAGACGACGCTATTCATAATGGCCGAGTCTGCGTCTCGGTTTGATGCACATCTCAGTAGATTTGTCCAAGTCGGGTTCCTGATGACGGAACTGCAGACTGTCTGACCTCTTTATACGTTTTATCATTATTAACGAATCTCAGTAAAGTTCCCACCGTTCGAACGAATAATAGCAACTTGCTGGTGGGTGAGACAAACTTGATCGAAAATACACTATACTCAACGTCAGAGACACTGACAAATAAATATATGTTGCCAATTGTAACCCTTCTGATGGCTAAACATAAAAATCACAACTATGGCTATATCTGACTATTTCAATGGTTGGTGGAGCATAGGCGTTTACCTCATGTGGATGGTAGCTGGCGGGAGAAAACCTCTCAAGGCTGCGGCGATGCCGTGCAACGTTTTAACCATACCCTTGGGGCTACGCGCTCTGCGACGAAATGTCGTGCTAACCTTTTTAATGGTGGTGATGCCAAAACACTAACAATCACGTCTGCAGTCGCGGCGATCTGGCAAAAGTGGTGGCGCTTACGGAGGGCTTATTATATCATAGGGCCAGAGTGCCTGATCTTTAACACATGCCCAAAACCGTATTGACGTACATTCACGAAGACTGGATTTGTCGTCGGCTTGTATGACGTTTACACGCATTGACATGCGCGACTTCGGTCAAAGTTTGTGCTTACGCACTGCCAAGGGGCCAAGCCCTCTTTATGCTGGTAAAAAAACAGCTTTGCAATGGACTTCGGTCCTTTCCCCAACTTTTTGTCCCTCT